CCCTTCTGTGCAACCTTTTACTCCAGAGTAAAACCAATTGAGTCCTCCACCACTCGGCCCGGACATGGTGGAGCGTCCAGCGCCAGGCCTTTATCCGCTGAATCCTTGAGAACCTGATCTGGGCTGGGTTCCATATGTGTGACCCTACATGGATCCCATATGTGTATGTTTTCCACAACTGCTCCTATCAGAAGTCTGTGTCTTTCCCTTAGGCTAAGTCTCCTATTATTCATATGCAGTACAACCTTCGGGTTAGTCCATATATATTTGTATATTTGTAGTCCCCATATATAAGTGTCTTCCGCAGGGTTCTCCTTCCTAAATAGAAAGGGCACGCTTTCCCAGTGCTATCTAAAATCTCACTGTATGGGTTATCACAGAACAACAGTGTCAGACTCACTCTGTGTAAGCCTCCTCCTATCGTCCTTCCAGGCAAGAAGGTGTAGAGGCTTGCATGGGGCGATGGATGGGGTGCAGCGGCTGTGGCGCTTTGGTAGGGATTCCTATTCGTCAGTCATGACCTACGTTGTGGTGACTGACCGATAGGGAACGTCTCTGTTGCATATGGTAACCCTCGTTCCCTGTGGGAGGGAACGGAGATGTAGATCCCGTCGCCAAATTTGTCAGCTTTTTCAGGCTTGGCACCTCAGCAAAAAAACTAGTGTGCAATCGCAACAGCTGCTGCGAGGCTGCACAGCTGATGCAAATGATTGCATGCCAATGTGTATTGGCTTATTTTAGTTTCACTCGAAGTAGATTGGCCTCTCTAGTGAGAATTCTATTGGTCATTCATGACCTACGTCTCTGTTCCTCCCTCAGGGAACGAGGGTTACCATATGTAACTGAGACATTTTCCTTTACTATATCTATTATATTCATTTATTGACATATAAAGATACAAAAATATGCAAAAGATATAATGCACACGAGTAGTAGTGTGTAGTGTGATTTTTCCACTGAAAATCGCCAGCTCTCCATTGAAATGAATGTGATCATGTAGCTTTGTCGCTGCTTGTTGATGAATGCTGCTTGATTTGTCGCTGCTTGTGAATGGGGCTTTTGAGCAACATGAGAGTAAATAAATTGTAAATAAATAAATTTCCTTTGGTAAAAAAAAACTCCAAACACAGAATCACATCTATAGATTCTCAGTTTGATATTTGGATTACATTCTCACTTACACTCAAGGACAAATTTTTCGTTGAGATGCAAGATAATTCACACTTTTTTAAAGAAGAAGAACTCTCTTTTATACAGTGTAGACCAGTGAAATGTTTGTTATGAATTGAGAGAAATAGACTTCTTCTGATGGAGCTGTGAGTTGTATGACTGAAAGAGAGTGTGGCAACATTCAATTCCACTTGGGTTCGCCATGCATTTATGGCCAGTCTTCAGGAGCCTACTTCTGTCAGTCAGTGAACCCCTATCTCTATTCAACACCTTCCAATCACAATAGCCATGAGAGGCAAAGAAAGAGCACAGCTAAAACAACAGACTCAAACCTTTTCAGAAATTATTCAGTCTCAATGGGCATGATTTCTTTAAGAAAAGCTGTTTCAATGAATCCCTGTGATGTATTCCATAAGGAAAAAAAAATAAAAAAATCCACATATGAGGGAGACGAAACCAAGCTGCCACAGATATGATAGATGTATTCATCCAAACCTCTCACTGCCTTGGAGAGCAATTAATCTGGGATTAGGTGGGACAAAGCCCAGAGTCAAATCTCCTTCTCTCTTTAAGTGTCAGGACCCCATCATAACTGAAATTCCCAGCCCGTGGCTTTGAAAGTGTCATGTTTTAATAGCTTTTGGTTGGTGGTTATTTACACAAGCGCTTTGACTGATGTGTGACAGGAAAGATGAGCAGGGAGTCTGTCTTATATTGATCTGGCACCTTGCATGACAGATCATGGAAGAGAGAGATGGCCAACGCATTCTCATCCTTTAGCATCATATAGAACGCTATATGGCAAACCAGCGCTATACTACGCACATGGCACCCGTTATCGTTAATATAACACGCGCTGTGATGGCTAGGTTTAGGTGTTGGGTAGGGTAGGGTAGTCTCATATTACGCTAAAGGATTTATGATGTCTTGTGTTCGCGTGAATATTAACAATAAAGGGTGCCATGTGCGTAGTATAGCGCCGTTTTGTCATAAAGCATTCTATGTAACGCTAAAGGATGAGAACGGGCTGAGATGGCAAATGTATGACTAGATGTTTTTAAACATATTGTGGTGTTGAGTAGTATAAAGGTTGAGGTTTCATATTTTAAAGCTGACCATATTATGTCCCTTTTTGCAAGATGTAATATAAGTATCTAGTGTCCCCAGAGTACACAACCAAACAATGAAAAAAAAGCTTATAATTAAGACTGTAACATTGACTTCAGCATCTCTTTTGAAATCTTTCTCCTGCATTAGCTGTATCCACCTGGAAAAAGCTATCCTGACATTAACTCGTGCTTTTTGTAATCTCCGGTCACGTTTTCTTTTACAATCTATTTTGGACTTTTCTGGCAACGAGGATTTGCAATGCAGCCTTTTAAACTTGCCGGGGCAGTGACAAGCACCTCTCACTAGTACTGTTGGCCTAGTACTTTTTGTCCCTCTCTGCTTTTGTAGTTTAAGGGCGGAACTACATGGAAGCCTCCGTGGACCTACCCATCCCATGTACGTAAAGATAATAAATTCTTTGTTTATGTGGATAAGTCAAATAATTGGCAGAGGTATTTGTACACCATTTAGGACGTATTTATGAATAAAAATATTGATTTTAAATAATAAAATACATAAAAAAGAACCCATTTTCCTTTTAAGATATATTAAATCTTGTTTTCTGAAAAAAGTGACTATTTAGTGTGGGCCTCAGTCTCCTTTGCTGGCACTCTATAGGCCCATTCCACCCAACTCCAGGCTCCTCTCGGGTATGAGGTGTTGTGTCCTCATCGCGCATGCCATAACACTCGTGCCCGGAAGGCAAGGTCAGATGCAGTGCGATGCTCACCTATGAGCGCATGGTCTGGGATACCCTCGGGCATGTATTTGATATTGTATTTTATTGACATTTTGACTTGCGAAAATTCTATTTATATGATTTTATTTATATATTTACTTCTTTTGTGATTTCTCTTTCAGTAGTTCATGTGGCAGTGAAGTGTATATCCGGCTTTAGCGCGGCTTTTGAAATCAGGCACTGACTGTAAATTGTTCTAATGATGTGCTCACCATGTACCCTCCCTCAGGTGCTTCTCCAGTCTCGCTCCTCGCATCCGTTCTGACGGCCCTGTTTTTCCCCCTCTCCTCCTCCTCTTCCTCTCATCTCCTCCTGTGTGCTCTTCGGTGTCAGCGGAGTGTGGGCTAACAGTGGAACAGGGCTTTTGATGTACAAAGAGCTATGTTTTCCGCTACAATAAAGATGGAGGAGCACACCCACTCTTTTACGCACAAACATCAAACACACATCAGCAGATATAGAATATGAGAGCGGTGTGCCTGAGACTGACAGCTCCAGATCAAAAGTGGGAGTTGTCACAAATCATGGCCACGTTTCTATGGCCTGTATCATCAACGTGGACATCCTTTCTATTTTTTTATTATTCAACTGATGTCAGAAAAGCTCTGAATTTCATAGACAGATGACAGATGATTAGCCCCTAGTATTAGCCATTGTCTGCTGTTAGCACAGTCAAATACGCTCAAAATCATGTCAAAATGCTGGTTTTGTGAGTTTTCATGTAAACACATTCAGTTATGTTTTAAGTGAGCCTAAACAGTTGAGAAAGAAGGTCAGGTCTAAAATACCATCAGCCTAAAAAACCTGCTGCCAAATTAGGAGATAATATTAAAAATATCTATATGGTAGTATTTACCCCATGGTATTGATGCCAAAATTGTGGCCAGTGAAAAGGCTGAGTGGCTAGTAATTTTGTAAAACCATTAGCCACAGTGGCTGGTGAGCAAAAAAGTTAATGTCAAGCTCTGGTTATAAATATGACATTGGCTACCTATGCTGTGGCACAGAAATATTTTCTCCTGGAATACAGACAGAGACATGTCCTCCCTACTGTGAACCCCCAGAGCTGAAAATAGCCTGTGTGATGGGCCGATGACACCAGGTCTGGACGATGAGCGTAATTGACAGAATCCTAGTGTGATTACTGCTGAAACTGTGACTAATGAATGCTAACACCACTCGTTCCACTCTCCTCTGAGAGCCCAGAGAGGCTTCCTGTCCACTGTTCATACAGATTGACATGTTAGCAAGTATGCATCTCTTTTTTTCATTTCCAGTGTTGTGTGGTCTTCATTTGAGCAGATCTGAAACATCAAAACAAGATTATTCTCAGTGTTGTCAGTGGGCTGTACTTTATTCTTAAAAATGTCATACCCGTTTGAAAATATCAAGGTCAAAACATTTTGTTCTCAAAAGAACAGGCAAATAAGATTAAGATTTTTTCCTTATTTTTTATTTACCTGTTTCTGCTTTGGATTAAATTGCACACGTTTTAGTCATTCTGATTAATCACAAGAAAAACCAAATCTAACCATATCTAAATTTCTAAAAAGAATGACAAACAGTATTGTTAAAAATGTTTTTGTTAGTTTAAATAAAGATGAAATAAAATGTTTAAAAATATATATTTAAAAAAAAGCTAACTTATTTAACTAAAACTTAATTCTAAAAATATAAATAATTTAATGTAAATACTATCATAATAATAAATAAATAAATAAATAACACTGTTTGCAAACAGTTTTTTTGGTCACACCCACATCTTCAGAAAAATTTGACAGAAAAACAAACAGCCTAGCTTCAAAATGCCATTTGTTGAGTTTGTGTCAACTGTCATAATATTGGCCTGGAAATTTATTTTTAAATTATTTATTTTTAAATTGAGCTCAAGATTAAAGTCATAGCTGTGTATGTGCAATTATGATGTCAACAACACAATTTATGCTGTGTTTTTAATTCAGTTTCGTCTTGTTTTTTTGACAGGCCTCTTCCTCCAAACAGCTGGATCTTTTGAGACATGCTTTGACAGGTGCCTGGATCTGGACCTCTCCAATGTGAGTCTAGAGGCATTCATAACAAGGGGTTACTCAAAACCTTACACAAACAATCACTCCAGTCAGCTGATGTCCAAGGGTGGAAAACAATTCCAGTATTATTGCTGTGCTGGATAAACTAATGATAATGCTGCCATGGATTGGAAGATGACAATGTTATGTTCTTTCTCCATATCTCTTTCTATCTCTTGGCTCTTTGTATAACACAAGAGGTCAAATATACACTATTGCACATTTATATTAAAGAGGTACTTCACCGCCGGCAAAATGGACTTTCAATAAAACTTGTCAAAACCCACCTTGCTTTATTAGGAAATACTTAGCAAACTTTTAGTGTTGACCTGTATCGTCCCTGGATGCAATAATTTAAAGAGTAAACATTTAGTGTCATTTACCGTGAAGAATCCAGTGCGTTAGAATCAACTCAATGACCACGAACAGTGTTTTAGGCCAAACGGAGGGTAACACAGAGAATTAGTAAACCTTCATCTGTTAATTTACACATACCGACACTGATTTGTAATAATACAAAGTTACACTTTAAAGATGCAAAATATCCAAAAACCACTTGCAAATGGTTTTATATTTCAATTTTGTACTTCCATTATCCTCAATGTTTCTAAGAATTTGTAAATTGTCCGTTTGTACTGCCATGGTGACAGACGTGGACGACTGCGTAGTACGTAACATCTAGCAGCACACTGTTGTTGTTTTTTTTGAAACATTATAAACCTTGGCAAGCAGACATTGGGACAAAAGAAGAACTAAAACGTGGGTCAATAAGCGTGGCATTTTCAAGATGCCGAAATCCTCGTCCGCGACTAACTTGGACTTGGCAGAGCTTCACGAGTCATGACTGCTGGTGAGCACATAAAACAAATCATTTTATATCTCTAACATGATGAAATGACAAAATGTTATTATTCTATTCTACTATTATAAGAATTGCAGTACGCTGTTACTTAAAAATACTACTGCTGCTTGTTAGCTATTGAGATACGGTTTTCTCCTGATAAACATTTAATATGACTGAATAAATGATCAGTGTTGTAGTACTCGAGACTCGGACGCGTCTCGAACTCGGTCTCGAGACCATATTTTAATGGTCTTGGTCTTGTCATGGACTCGTCCATTTGGACTCGGAATTGACTCGTACTCAAACATTTTTTTTTTAGGACTCGGAATTATTCCCGAGTCCACTCGAGTTCAATTAAAAATATTTTCCTGATTATTAATGTATGTTAATAAAATATTTCTTTAAATTGATTGACACGCCCAGTGATTGGTGATTTTCTAGTGCGCAACTGCGCATGACAAATTGTAATAAAATTACTTTTAACACCACCTACTATGTGGCCTTTTTTACCCTAAACTGATCATATTTTTTAAACTCTAAGTAAATTCAGTAAAATAAAAAAAGGATTTCTCTAAGTAAATAAAAGTAAATTAGGTAATCAACCCTCACTGGTCTCGATCTCGACTCGGACTCGACCGTCTCTGGTCTCGTTCTCGACTCGGACTCGACCCTCTCTATGGACTCGGTCTTGACTCGGACTCAAATGAGGTGGTCTCGACTACAACACTGTAAATGACTGATGAGTGATACCGTTCTATAAAGTTGTTTTATCGATATACTGAACAACCGTTTATATATTCACAAAACTTAGTTTACTCAGTGTATCGTTTTCTTTAGATGTACATGTGGAAACTGTGTTAAAATGCCAACAGAACGTACACCGATAATAGCAGCTGAAGTTTGCTGTTGCGATTACATATAATTTTTGTTTTAACTTTATACACGATTGTCTTATACACACAAAATCGCATCGAACTAACTGGCTAATCCCTGAAAGTACACTGTCATCTCAGAGATGTCTATTTGATGTGTGTGTTTACATCTGGAAGACTTATTTTTTAGAGTGTTTGCTCATCTGCAATACGAAATATGGCTACTAAAGCCAGCGTTGTCCTTGATAAAACTAAAACAGTACTTCTGAATGTCTTACTTACAGGTTGTAGCCCAACAACTGCTGCCTCTGGTTTTAAAGTTGGAACTGCTTCATGTTTTAATAACAGTTTCTTGTTGAATCCGGCATTGAATTCGTGGAGATTTTGGATGCTGTCTTCCGAAACAGGGAGCTAAATTACGATTGTAACATAATCAAACATAAATTTTAGCCATTGTTGATGAACTACAGCTTCCGTGCGAAGCCCGAACACAAAATACCTGACAGGTGACAGCTGGGTGAAAACAACACACTTTTGACGGCATGACAGCTCTCCACTTTAACTCTTCCTCTTAGACAAAGCCACAGAAATAAGACCATGCCCCCTTTTTTGCATATTGCGGAGGGAGGGTTGATTTAAATGTATGGGTTAGTTACGTATTAAAACCTGGGTATCTCGTTGTAGTCCCATCTGAGTCGTTTTTGTAGGCATTAAACTTCCTAATTTTTAAAAGACGATATCTCTACTTACAGTACGTTCAGATACTGTTCATGCACCAACAGCAACATTACTACAACATTATGAAGTGAAATCGCAATCAACCACCCCTTTAATTTGTGAAATAAAGGGGCAAGGGGAGGGGGGATCATGATTAGTAATGACGTCAGAATATTCTTTGAGATCTTATGTGAGCAACTCTGAGCTCAGATGTTTAACTGAAGTCAAACATGTCAGTCATTCTTTGACAATGACCTGAAAGGAGTATTCATGGAGTATTTGTTTTCAGCAGAAAATACAATCATTCTTGTCAGGATTATCCTTCCAAACTCAGGAGCTAGATATTTCTTGCAAAAAGAACATTAGTTCTTCTGCATAAAACATTCACTACTGAACTCGAGCACCTCTTTGCTCCCATCCTTGTTTGTATCGTTTTCTGTCTGACAGCACACACTAGAATGCATCCTGGAGTGGATTTTTCTTCAATTAAAATAATGTCACTCTTCAAGTAGACCCCGTCCCTGCATTAGCAGCCCTCCCTTGAACCATGAAATACCCATTTATTACAGAAACATAAATTACCCCCCCTCTCTCTACTCCATGAGTACAGCTAAAAAAGAAGTGCTCAGTGCTGAATATTCTGTGAGCTTTACTGGTATAGGGCTTGAGTCCCGCCAGGCATTTGATGGCAGTTTAATCATTATTACTGCTCCGATGTCGTGGGTTCTCTTGGGAGCAGGGATGAAGAACTCCTTGGGAAGATTTCGACGTAATGAGGCTGACAGTCATGGCAGGGGACCTGTAACTGATTGCTTAATGCATGCAGATGAAATGTTAATGGGAAAGCTGCATGTTGAGACACAGTGGTGGATAGCTTTGCTTAAGACAGCTAACACCCTCCCAACACATACCCCAACACCCATTGACAGCGACAGTACACAATTAGGGACATTACCAGATGTGTCAACACTTCTCAAGTCTTGAACAGAAGATCATGTCATAAAGCACTTTCATAGACCAGACTCATTATAGACCAAACAGACAAATCTTTTTGTTTTATACGTAGCGTATCTGGGCTGCGCCAGGATGAATCATGCATTCTAACACCCAAAGGATTCACCAGCCTGGCTCCAAAAATTCAGGAGTAGATTGCCCCTGCAACATGTTTATGACCTCAGAGCAATTCCATGAGGGGGGTTGGGGGCATTATTAAAGACATTACTAAAATATATTTGATAAGTTTTTATGTTGGTCATGCCCTATTGGGGTATCTGTGATTTTATCATAGTATTAAATGGATAATAAGTGCTTCTAATTATGCGTTAAGCTGTATCTTTGCAATTCCTATTCTTTTTTATGTTTATTTTGTGCTGTTGTAATCCTCTTGTGACTCGTTTCCACTGAGCGGTACATTACAGTACAGTGCGGTAAGGTACGCAATTATTTTGCGTTTCCACTGTGAAAAGTTGTGCATGGTACCAAAAAGCCGAACCATATCATACCACTTTTTGGATCCGAAGCAAAAACATATCTGCATATTGCCGGCCTCCTCCTTTTTATACTCACAAGGTAAGGCGGAGAAATGCTACGCAAATTCCGCAGACCCATGGCATGTCTTTGCCATTGGCTCATTTTGTTAGAGTCGAAGCTGATAGGCTTTCTAAGTGAAACCCCATTCGTCGTCATCCGACGGAACTCGGAGTGACAACAAAAGGAAACTTAAGTCAAAAGAAACAATAGTAAGAAAGAACCCGGGTATTATTATTATCATTTTTCCACCCATCCTAAATTGGAGGCATCCTTGTACACGACCGTCACACTCTAAGAAGTCCCCAGGTTTACAGCTGACTGATACCAGTCGATTGCTCTCCAAAGTTTCAGAGCTGAGACACATTTCTGATCGACCTTAAGGCGAAACAGACTGGAGGCCCACGCGCACGGTGGTACTCGCGCTTTTAGCCATAACTGCAGCTAGCACATGCGAAGCAGGCCCAATTGGAGTACTGATGATGCTGAGGCAATGAAACCCAACATTTTCTGAAACATTTTGAGTGGGACTATAGTGCCACAGCGGAAGAATTTCAGGATGCGCTGAATGTTCAGTCTGCACTCTGGCGAATCCAGTTCTGTGCCCAGAAAAGATATTCTTTGACTGGTAGGCAGCATATTTTTCGGCCAATTGACTTTGAGACCTAGATTCTTAGATGTTGGAGTAACATGGTCCTGTGTTCTATGAGCTATGAGTGTGATCAAGCTAGAAACAGCCAATCGTCCAATTAGTTCAAAACTCGCATGCCCTGAATTTCAGGGGTGCGAGAGCCACATTCATGCACATCGTATGAGGTGCTAGGGACAGGCCGAACGGCATGACTGTGTATTGATACACCTGGCCCTCAAAGGCGAATCTCGACCTGCTGCGGAGCTAGAGCGCTTCAGTAAGAAGTGCTTCATAGCCTGTGACGTCTTCTAAACCTCTGCGAATCTATCCAAGAAATCCTTGACTGATGATCCAAAGAGGCCAGCTGGGAAGATGGGCGCGTCGAGGAACGCTCTGA